GCAGTCCCCAGTCCATAGCCTGCTATTTCAGGCTCAGAAAAGAAGATACAAGGGAGATTCAGGAAACTCCTGGCCAGACAGATGTGTTCATTGGGCTTGGCATCATATTTCCTACATACCCAAAGCAGTTCAGATTCATATTACATTGTGAATCTCTCTCCTTTGGCATTCTTAATTCTGATTGCCTGTTCTCTATCCCTTTTTCTCTAAAACAGCCACCTATTTAAGAAGAGAAGATAAGCCAGAAAAGTTAAGCAGGGACCTCAAGGACCAAGAAGCTGACCTAACCTCTGACTTCCCACAATGGAAGCCCTGGTGGAAAGTCAGGTATCTCAAGGGGACTTAGCTGCTACTCCTGGAATCACCAGGAGCAGGTTGGAGTTACCATTCAAGAAGGTTCTCCACACTGCTTTAATCAAAACAAGTAATATTAAAACAGGCTGCACACTTCATCAAATGACTAGCCAGATTAGAAGATGGATCCCAAAATCTCAGAACTGAAAAGAATCCTTTTTTAAAAACATAAACACTTTTACAAAAATAAGCCACTGAAAGTAGCCATGGATTGGGTTGAGGGGGTGGATGGGAATGACACACTTTTCCATATTTTAACCTGTCCAGGATGATACCAATGTTGAAAATGTTCACTACTATGACTTTAGTTACTTCCCCAGAGAATGGGAGCTCTTAAGACCCAAGGCCACCCACACATGCAAATATGAAAGAATCAGGGAAGCCATAGAAGACCCACAGTGAAACTGCTTAGGATCTGTGTGTGTCTGTGTGTGTGCGCGCGCACATGTGTACACACAAGCATGTGCTTTCTCTTAAACTGAGGTTGAATACTACCACTCGTGCCACTCCTAAAAAGTGACACATATACATTTCACTCCATTCCAAAAGAGCACCAAAAATCTCTACAGGGCAGCTTGGAAAACAGAACTCTTGGAATGACCTGCATAGGCTCACACAAATTAAACCCCTCAACTGCTGAGGTCCAGGACAAAAACTGCTGTGAGTAAGGCAGGGAAAGGAAGTGATGAGTCCTGAGCCTGTGGAGTTTCTTATCTTTACTTTCTTCCTTTCCATCCCCTCTAAATAAAGCAAAATTCTTCACAGCACTAATCAGTTATTTCTCAGAAAGATCCAAGAATGAAAGAATAAAGCAAGAAAATGTTTCATGAAGAGAGCTCAGAGACAATTATCCACATTCTTGACTAGGCCCTGATATGGAAATCTAAGGCTCCCATCCACAGGTCCCAGCCTTGGCTTCTGACAGATGTTCCATATGGCCAGCAGCAAAACTCTGATATAACCCCATGAACTGTGGAGTCTCTTCTCACAAGCCAGTTCACCTCCACTTTCTTCTAGGTGGGATGATCCCCTCTTGGTGCAATTGAGATGAGAGATCAACAGCCTGAAGCAAGAAGCTTCCTAAAGCACTTTGCAATGGAGTGACACACCTCAAGTGGTCACTTCTTCACAATCCAACCCTTAATCACATTCCCTTCTACCTTCTGGTTTTCTAAAGGCTGACCTCAGTTGAGTATTCCCAAATCAGAGATCGGATTCCTCCCCTTTACTCCATCTTTAAGGCAAAGGAACGACAAAAGATCTTTCTGTCCAACCCAGGATTCCGTGCCACAACGCATCTCTCTCTCTCTCTCTCTCTCTCTCACACACACACACACACACACACACACACACACACACACATGCATGGAGAAGTCAGCCCACCTCGGGAGGGCCGGAAAAGCGAGTCCTGAAAGCAATCCTAAGGTTGGGACAGCTCCCGGTCCCGGACAGCTCCCAAGCAAGGCCCAAACAGGGCCTGCCCGCTCCCCTCCCCCAACCCCACCCCACGCACCCTCACCTCTCATTCTGGTACCGCCACTACCACCTCCTCCACCGCCGCCAGTGGGGGAATTGGGCCCCGCCGACTGTTTGCGCCATCCCCGCCAGTTCTGGCAAAGGCTTTCGGCCTCGGAGATGAAGGAACAGAGCGAATCCTCCTCAAAGCGGTCTGAATCCTCGAATGAGAAGCGCTCTCCATCCTCCCATTCCGCGAACATCAGCTCCATGGGGCCCGCACCCCCCGGGGCCGGGTCTCCCCCCGCGGATCCGGGGCCTGGGCCGCCGGCCGGGGACTGAGGGGAGGCCCGGAGCCTGAGGGGCGAGCCGGGGCTGGGGGTGGCCGGGGTGCTCAGGGCGGCCGTGCCGGGCGAAGATCTCAAGCCTGAGAGAGACACGGGACCAGGCCTCGCCCAACAGCGAGGTGCGAACAGGGGTTGTGCCCAGTCTCCGAGACTCAGGGCCCGGACGAAGCGCTGGGCGGCCGGGGCCTCTAGGCGGCTGCGGCGCCGCCTCCCCCATCAGCTGATCTGAACTTCCGGCCGCGCCGGCCATCACCACTTCCGCCCTCGCGCTCTCGAACTGGACTCCATACGGGCGGGTGTAGGAGACATGTTTGTTTGTATTTAGTGCCTGAGATAGAACCCGGGGCTTACCACTGAGTTACATCCCAAGCCCACCCTTTTGTTGAGGCAAGGTATCATAAGGTTGCTGAGGGTCTCGCTAAATTGCGGAGGCTAGCTTCGAACTTGAGATTCTCCTGCCTTAACCTTCGGAGTCGCTAGGATTACAGGCATGTGCCACTACGCCTGGCTGACATGTTTGTTTAACTGCTACATTTCCTGCTTTTTTTTCTCCATCCTACCGCCACACACCATAAGAGGAAACCAGTCCCCAACGATATATTAAACGACTACAGATTCTAGCAATAACTTGGTGTCCATAAAGTCCCGAAGGAATAAACAGCCGCTGTGCATGTCGGGAAGCGTAGTATGTCAAAAGATGGCACAGGAACCATTGGTCGGAGGTATTGGCCTAACTCGGGATAGGCCCTGGGGCCGCATCAGCTTCTGGGAATTGTAGTCCAGAAGCTTGCAAGTCCACAGACTTGTATATGAGTCTAACTGGGGAAACCCCAGGAAAGAAGGCATTTGATTTCAGGAAATGGTTTTTCTTTTTGTCAGTGAGTCAGGAAATGGTTTTTCTTTTTGTCAGTGAGGCCTTTGAGTCCAGGAATTCTTTTATTTATTTATCCATCCATTTATTTATTTTTTAGTTGTAGATGGTCAAAATACCTTTATTTATTTTTTATGCAGTGCTGAGGATGGAACCTAGTGCCTTACACATGCTAGGCAAGCACTCTACCAGGGAGCTTTACCCCCAAGCCCCTCAGACCAGGAATTCTTAATCTTTATTTGTGTTACAGACTGTTTAGCAATCTGGTAAAGTCCACGGTCCTCCTCTCACTGTTTACAAATGCACAAAGTAAAACAAGAATTACAAAGGAAACAAATTATGATTAAATACAATTATCAAAATAATGAGGGCTGGAGATGTAGCTCAGTTGGTAGAGTGCTTGCCTTGTCTGAAGGAGGCCCTGGGTTCAATCCCCAACACCAAAAAAAAAAAAAAAAGTTAATGAAACAAATTTGTAACATAATAATGCTTCTTTATTTACATGTTAAATTACACCCCTAGGGGTGGAGCTCAGTGATACAATGCTTGCCTTTATGGGCAAGGTCCTCTCTCAGCACCACACACACTCAAAAACAAAAACAAGAAAAACACAATAAATGTAAGAAAGTGTAATAACTACTATAATCTTGAAGCTAATAAATGAGTATAAATTACAYTTGAGATTTATTTATTTATTGTATACTGGGAATTGAATTTACCACTGAATCACATCCCCAGGGCTTTTTATTTTTTGCRACAAGTTGCTTAGGGCCTTGCTAATTTGTTGAGGCTGGCCTCAAACTTATCCTATTGCCCCAGCCTCCCAAGTTGCTGGGAATATAGGAGTACACCATCACACCTGGATCATTCTGAGATATTTTTAATAAACTGTAATATGGTATGAAAATACCATGATTGGGGCCAGGGATATAGTTCAGCAGYAGAGTACTTCCTGGTTCAAGTCCCAACTCAAAAACAAAACAAACACAAAAAAACTCCTATATCTAGTCCAAAGGGCCTCCTATAGCTAGAAGGCTTAGCTTGCAGAAYTAGGCAGTAGGCACAGTGCTCTAGACATGGAATACAAGGAGTATGTGAATAGGTACTGGGGGATAAAGAGGAAAGACCCCTCTTTAATAATTATCCCACTAGAACATTAAAAACTCCACTGATCACTTTGTCCCTCATTCATTACTAAAAAGTACATAGAAAAGATTAACTCAATTATACCTGAAAGACCAGAATACACATAAAGTGCTATGTGCAATTGTTCCTAAATACCAGGGGATTACAAAAATAAAAACCTTTRGTAATTTGAGAAAACTGAACAGGCAATACAACAGAAGATAATTGTCAATCAAGCCTGTTTCACCATCTGAAAGAGTCTAGTGGGAGGTCACTGGAATATCAGGACAAATAATAATCAGCTCTATCTGGTTATTGCTAAGTAGAAAAAGGAAATACAGTTGCCAGAGCTTTTTGACTTTTTTTAAAAACAGTGGCTAAAAATGGATTTTTTTCTATTTTTGAATGAGATCGGGTAATTTAAAAACTTTTTTTTATCTACATGGACCACACAAAATAGATCTGAAGAACCTCTGGATCACCAGTTTGTGAACTTCATTAAGGGAGGACCTTGAAGGGGTTGTACACAAAATAAGTACTCACTRAATACAGATGATGGCAAAAAGCTCTACGTATGGGCAAACTTCAACATTCTTAGTAACCAAAGCAAAAGCACTAAATGGTGTAAAGGATTCTAATGCAGAAAAAGACATCTTGTCCACCCTAGGGCAAATTGGGAAGAAAAAACCTTCCTGGAACTAGGAGAGAATATAGGGTTCAAGAAAGGAGAGAAGTCTGGGGAATATAGCTCACTGGTACAATAACTAGAATTCCAGAGGCCTTGGGTTCCATCCCTCCCCCCACCACACACACACAAAGAAAAAAGAGTATCTAGTTCACAACAAAAGGCCAATTTTTCTTCAGAGAATTTTATTTCAAGATAAACCATAATTTCCATGTAGACTGTAACTCCAAAGTGCAAAAAAAGGGTATCACCTCATTTTACCCTTGGAAAAGAGCATGACAGTACAAACATCTCTAAAATGCCTCTGCACAGTGTTCAGAAGTGATAGTCCAATCATTGAAAATGCTTCTCCACTTTCAGCTGAGATGAGGTTTGTTAGGAAACCTTTGTAATAATTTATTCAATTTCTTGGGAGGTAAACTCCCATACTCTCCCATGGTCTCCTGGACTGATCTCATTTTTCGTGCTTCCTAAAAACAGAATAAAAACAATAACAATTCTAAAGTATGCCCTAGGCGCATAGTTTTTATTTTTCAATGCTCCGAACTACACTAAGGTATTAACCAATCCAGAGACATTTGTGTAAACAGCTTTCAACAAAAGGGACTTGGGACCTACAAGTAACTATGACCTGAAGCTACTATTGATTAAAAGCTAGCAGTTGTAGGCTAGGGATATAGTTCAGTTGGTAGAGTGCTTATCTTGCATGCACAAGGTCCTGGGTTCAATCCCTGGGACCATGAAAGAAAGAAAAAGAAAAGCTAGCAGGTGCTACATGCCATGTAATCCGAACAACTTGGGAGGTTGAGGCAGAAGGATCACAAGTTCAAAGCCAGCCTCAACAACTTAGCAAGACCTTGCATCAAAATTTTAAAAAACGGGGGGGGGGGGGGGGGGGGGGGGGGGGGGGGCTGGGGATGGCTCAATGACCAAGTGCCCCTGGATTCAATCTCTGGTACCAAAAAACTAGAGGTTAAATCCAAGTTGGAAATCAAACTGTCCTTAGATAAGTTCAACAATCTATTTAAGCAGCAATTTAAATTTGCTCAGGTGGTTTTTCCATTCATTACTTCTTTGACATTCTCAAAATTCTACAACGTGGTTTCTAATATTGACAGTAAAACTAAAGTTCAGAGATGTGGAACAAATCGTTCAACTGTTATTTTTGTCACTTTGGCGTAAAGTAGATCACAAATTAAAGCGAGTACCTTTCCCATCACCTAGCAAAAAGCATGGAGAACTATTATTTGTATCCATCCCCCTGTTCTTTTCTTGAGAAGGATCCCTAGGAGCTGTCACCTGAGCTCTTGCAGCACAATCGAAGAAGTCCTGGATCTCTTTCCTGCACGTCTCGTCGCGGAATTCATTCTGCTTCCAGCAAGCCATCATGACGGACATCTCCGTGATACAGGTCGCCTCTGGAGGGGAAGAACTGAGGGACTCTCAGTCACAAAGAGACCCATCTTCCCGCCTTCCTACCCAACCGTCCTTACCCCACTCCGGTTCCCGTTCCGGGGCCTCCCAGGCTCCGATTGCTCACCGCCCTTCTCCCGGCGCCGCTCTCCAACTCGGTTAGCTAGGATGAGGGGTTTATTGGGCTTCAGTACAGGCCTCCGGGGGTTCCCAAGCCGCGCCAGGCGACCTCGCAGACTGGGAGTCGCCATTGTGTATTGCGCTCCCGGCAGGCTCCGCGGCGCGGTGCGTGACCTCGCGTGACCCCTACTGGCTAGTCCAGGCTCGCAGTGCACCTTTTTTTTCTGGCCTCCGCAACAACAGCTCTGGGTTCGAAAGCCTGCGGATCTATACWCGTTTGCAGGTTAGGAGACAAGCCACTCCTCTCTGGGGACCGTGGTCTTGCAGGAAAGGGTCCTGATAAACACGCGTTTCTGATGGTGGCTGACTGGTCTAGAGGGTGATTGACGTGTACAAAGATAAAAGATAGGAGCGAAATAAAATGTGAGTGTTTAAGACATTAGGTCCCTGGGATATAGCTCAGTGGTAGCGCGCTTGCTTAGCATGCGCCAAGGCCCTGGGATCAATTCCCAATGCTGCGAAAAATACCCGATGAGAGACAGGAGTCCCCTGTGTTTCTTTTCTCCTTTGCTAGCAAAGCAATAAATTTTCTTTCTCCTTTAAAAAAAAAAAAAGATGTTAGGTGGAAAAAGATGTTTTTAACAAACCTTCAGGAACTGTTTTTTTTTTTTTTTTTTACTTTTAGTACCTCTCTGAAGCCACAAAGAAAAATTAAGCTCATTTATGTTGTAACAATACCGTTCACCCCTTTGTAAGGATCCCATTGGGTGGGATAAGGTTTAAACGCTTACACATTCATCTTTAATCCTCTCATCAGTCCTGTTGAAGCTACCATATAGTATTTATAGACTGGGACTTTTTTAGTTGTGATGCATCAGACTTAGTTTTTTGTTGTTGTTGTTTTTATACCTTTAGTTGTTAATGGACCTTTATTTTATGTATTTATATGTGGTGCAGAGTGGACCCAGTGCCTCACACGTACTAGGCAAGCGCTCTACCACTGAGCTACAACCCCAGCCCCCAGACTTCCTTCTCATTTATATTTTGGTACGGGGATGGAACTCAGGGGTACTCCACCACTGAGCCACATCCCCAGCACTATTTTGTACTTTATATTTAGTGACAGGGTCTCTCTGAGTTGCTTAGCACCTCTCTGTTGCTAAGATTGGCTTTGAACTCTCGGTTCTCTTGTCTCAGCCTCCCAAGCCTCTGGGATTTCAGGCGTGTGCCACCGCACCTGGCTCAGACTCAGTTCTTAACGACCTAAAATTCAGCCCAAAGATGTGCCAGGAATTCTTATGGCATTTCCAAATGAGCTCCAAGAAATGTTTCTATAAAGGGGATATATTTTGAACAAGTCTTTAGTTCATGTGATGACTAATTTGGAGGAGCAGTATTTACTTCGATGTGTAAATTTGTGTTAAAATCATTTATCACAGATGTTTAGAATCTTCCCATTGATATCTGCATGGCTGGGTTTCTTCCCTTCAGTCTGTTCATGTCAGAGAACCTTCCCTCACTTCTCACACCCCATCACCATCAACCTGTTTTCTTCAGAGCACCTGTCATAGTCTGAATTTATTTTTGTTCATGGCCTTATCTATCTGCAACATCCATTTTAAAATTTAAGCACTATGAGAGAAGGAGTCTTGTTTGTGTATCATCTTTGCTGAATCTCCAGTGCATAGAATAGTGTTAATACTTCTTAAAAGAACACATTTGAAATATTTTTATAAGTCTCCAACTGTATCATGCCCAACCCCAAAAAGTAACCAAGCAGAAGACACTGTTTAAAAAGCAGTTTATTATACAAAATGAAACCTGAGATAATAAAAATAGCAACACTTGCAGGAATAAAGACATTAACCTTGTGCTCTACCCCCACAGTAGAGCACAGTGTAAATAACAAAGATTCCTACCAGGCACTTCTACCATCAGTAAGCACAGCCTGCAGCAAATATACTGCTGCTGTATACATAGCAAGCTGGGCCCCAAACCACAAAAAAATTAACATTGCTTGCTTTCTCCATAGGGAAAGTGAAACTTTTAATTGATAAGTACCAGGGTGCCATTCCTAGTAGTTTTTTGTTTTTGTTTTTCCCATATAGAAACATAGCACCTGATTTACCCTGTTTTTTGTGATTACTTACATGGTTAAAAGGAATAGGGAAGAAAGTCTGGGAAGACCTGAGCACAAAGCAGGCCTGAGTCTTCAGCAAATCATTCAAAAACAAATGGCCTACTTTGTGTATAAAAGTGCTAAAGGAATGCTAATGTGAACTGGCAGTTAGGAGAGGGAGGGATTATTCTACTTCTTGCATAACCATCACTTACCCTTTTTATTGCACAGAATGCAATCTGAGTTCTAACCTAAGTTTGTACTTGTGCAATATGTATTTTGCAATGTGAATCAGCATCTGCACTGAAACAGATTGCAAGCTTAGAAATCAGAGTCCTGTGTGTTTTTTATGGGTGCCAACTATATCAAATTTTAACAGATTTATTTTTGAAGGTCTTTTTTTGTTCTTTTCTGCAAGAGACAAAACACGTTAAGAAAACTTTTCCTACTATGATAAAGGACATCTTTTATCATTTTAAGTGTAAAATGAAGGGCTGGAGTGTAGCTTAGAGGCAGAACTCATGCTTATTAGCATGTTCGCAGCCTTGGATTCAATCCTCAGCACCATTTAAAAAAAAAAAAAAAAAAAAAAAAAACCTTGGCAATGAAATACAGCCTAAATTATAGTTTTTCTTGATCATATCCACAGATGCTACAGTGTTAAACAGGGACCTAGTTGTTGAAGCATCTAACATGCATATATATCTTCCTATCTACATATAGATATGGATAGATATAATTTTATAATCAGATATAGTGATAAGCTACAGAACTTGTCCAGTGGTAATTTGTTAATATATTACAACCAGAGTTGCTCTAATATCCAAAATATTCTTTTTTGTTCCACTACTCCAGGGAAAGCTCATGGTCTCCTTACTCACTAGACTATCTGTTTGAGCCACAGGAATAGAAGGGCTTGGCTGCATCCCTAAATTTAAGGTTTTTATTTAGCCAGCCACTTGTGATGGCTTAAATTTCTTGCCTTGCCTCTTCATCTCTGAGTTTAGGGCTTTGGGTGCGCTCCATCAAACAGTAATTCTCTGTCCACAAAGCTGTATGGAAGGATATCAGTAATAGATTGAATGAAGTTGGGCTATTCAACTTTTTCTGCCATAATTTCCAACTTTAGTCTCCATCTTTGATCTAAAATAGATCAGAGCAGTACATTATTGACACTGCATGTATCAGCTACTAAATCTTTTCATGAAATGAAATAGAATTCCAGATGTACCCTAAAAACAAATCAGCAGTAAAAAAGTGATGGCAAGGTTTATGTATCTCCATCTGAAATTGTGGGAAAGAACCTAAAACTAGAAAAAGGCCATTTAAAATAAACTATCTGATGTGAAAAGTAATGTAACAATATGAAAAATATGGCCCCAAGAGTTGGACACAGTGGTGTGCACCTGTAGTCCCAGCTACTTGTAGGCTGAGATAAGAGGTTTACTTGAGACCAGCTCAGGCAACAGAATGAGATCCTGACTCAACCAAAACAAAACAAAAACTTCCTCAGAAAACCAGAATAAAACACACCAGAAGCTTTGCTTCCCTACCAGCTTAACAATTCATAAAGCAAGAGATGAGGAAAAGAGATTATTGGGAAAGGTACAGAATAWGGAAGAGTTTGGGAAATAGAACAGAAATTTTAAGAAGTAACCTGGCCCATCTTACCTCAAAATTGAGAGGATGAAAGAGCTAGAGAAGTGAACAGTCCTTTAAAAACTCTTTTGGGCCAGCACCTTGTGTCAAATGGGTGTTTTAGGCTTCTGTTTCCCAATGAACCAAGAACTAGATGCCTCCATCTCTCCTGGAGACCTATTACCACATGTTGAGACCTTGGTCACACACCATTAAGATAACTAAATCCATGATAAGAGAATGTTTGTCTGGGCACAATGGCATGTGCCTCTAGTCTCAGCTAAATGGGAGGCTGAGGCAGGAGGAATTCAAGGCCAACCTGGGCAATGCAGTAAGCCCTTGTCACTGAAAAAAGAAAGTATGCCATGATAAAATAAGATCTCCTTAGATCTTCCAAGTAAAAAGCTCTTACAAGGGCAGTTAGAGATTTTGGTTCCTTTTCATGAAGATCTCATGCAGGTAATCCCAAAATTTACTCTTCTGAGTTTCATTGTTGTGGATCATGGCAGTGAGAGCTTCTCCCTGGTCCAGACCTTGCCAATAATCCTGCAGCCACATCTCCTTCCAGCTGAAATACCAAGTGGTATTTGGTATTAGAATCAGAGCACAGGGATGAATCCCGCCTTTCTCTGAGTGGGGACAAAGAAATCATAAGCAGATACACTTCCTCTGTCTAGGACAAGGTTCTCCTGTGAAGTGAAGGAAATGTGAGGTCAATCCAGTACTACCCCAAGTGTCAGAAAATAAAAGACTAACCTCACACAGTCCACCCAATAAGTAAAAATTCCTGACTTGCCAGCTTCTGGCTCCCAAATATTGAGGGAATTCAGAGGCAGGCATGGCAGGGACCAATCTATGGAAATAGTAGTTATCCCAAGGAAAATAAGGAAGAGTCTTCAGATGATTATATTTTAAGTTTCACCTTTATAGCAATAATCAAAATGAAGATGCAGTGGCATCCAGTGTCTAAAAGACATAACCTAAATGTTTTCTTAATGTTTTACATTGTTTTATATTTTTACTCTAATAACTGATAGTATGTTCAACATAAACTGAATACTTGGTGGAAGAAGATTCCTCCACCAGGACCATACTGTACCAGCAGCATACATAAGCAGCCCTCTGCTGCCATCCACTGTCCAAGTCAGCCTCTGCAGGCCATTCTATTGCTATAAGTAGCTTTACCATTTTCCCACTCCACATCCCATGAAGACCTTGTTTCCCAATGCCACCACCTTCTGTGATCTACTACTGTTGATTACTCACTTCCCTTCCAACCACACTGCCAATCGTTGTTAATCATTAATCTTATGAAAGCATTCCTCCAATTCTGTCTAGTGTGAACATATAATTTATCTTCCAAATCAGGGTTATTGTTTTTCTTCCCAATACTGGGGACTGAATCCAGAAGTACTCCACCACTGAGTTACATTCCAGTTTGTTTGTTTGTGTGTTTTTTTTTTTCCCCTTTCTTTTGCTGAGGAGAATAAGAGAAAATTATGACATGGGCTCATTCTTTCTTTTTTTTTTTGGGGGGGGGGAGAGAGAGAGAGATTTTTTAATATTTCTTATTTTTTAGTTCTCGGCGGACACAACATCTTTGTTGGTATGTGGTGCTGAGGATCGAACCCGGGCCGCACGCATGCCAGGCGAGCGAGCTACCACTTAAGCCACATCCCCAGCCCCCTCATTCTTTCTTTAAGGTGTCAACAAGAGTAATTGAGGAAACAAGGCAAAATGAAAATGAAAAAGGATGAGTAAAAATGTACAATATAAATAAGGCAATAACACGTGAGAATCAATTATTGTGAACAATGTCTGTAATGGTAGTCAGAAAAAAAAAAAAGCCACTTGAACCAGAACAGAGGGCCTGTACAGGCAGTGATGAGGGAGAAAGAAAGTTGGGCAGATAAACTGAGGCAAGGCTATAAATAGCCTGTCTATCAGACTCAGGAGTTTGGGCTCTCCTGAAACCTGAAAAATCAACTACAGTAAGCAAGGAAGTAGACAATTTGATTTGACAGCTGCACTGGATGCCAGCAAACCTTACCTGTCATTCTCAGGAATCTCTTCCAAGTTACCAAAGCCAGGTTTGGGCATTGGGCAGTCCATGTGAGCGGGTTGGGCAATGTGAGGCTCAGGGACAGGGATGTCCCCAGGAGAGTGTTCATGGGCTTTCACGGCGTCCAGCCGAGTCAGTTCGTGGTCACAAACGAAGCACTCGAAGCCGTTCAGGTAGTTAGGCAGTAGAGGATCATTCACTCCCCATTCCCGTTGCTTCAAGCTATCCAGAAGGAACTGGTTGGTGATGCCCCCAGGTTGCTTATATGCCAAGTATTTCATATATTCCTCATCATTCTTATCCAGAAAGTCAATAAATTCTGCCAGCTTCTGAGGGGACTCAAAGTCGTCAATAAGGATGATGGAGTGGTTGTTCGGCATCCAGTCCCTCACAGAAGGAGAGCCGCGGTACACCGGAACAGCACCCAGATGCATCGGGCGCCACAGTTTTTCTGTCATGTAGTCGTTGCAGATGGCATTTTCGAGGGCCAAGTGGAACTTATAGCGGGACAAGAAAGCCAAGAGCTCTGGGTCCTCAGTGGTGGCTGTGGCCGTGTCCTGAAACCGCGCGGTGGGCAGCTCCCGATTTTGCAGGCATTTGCCGTAGGAGTCCACCTGAGCGGAGTAGAGTACGGCTGTCAGAAGGGTTGGGCCTGTAGCCCTGGACTCCCGGTTCCTGGGCTCCTCCCGGCCCGCCCCCTCCCTGCCGCATGCCCCCTTCACCCACCGGGATGTAGCGCATGAGCTCGCGCACGTAGCGGTCCCGGTCCGCCGGCACATCGCAGTGGGATTGCAGATAGAGCAGTGGTGCGTAGCCGCGACGGCGCCACTCCGCACGCTCCTGGAGAGGAGGCGCCGCGCGGCGCAGATAGGAGGTCCCGGGCAGCCACTGCAGTGGTAGGGGGTAGTCCGAGTGACGGCTGAAGGTGGCGGTAAGATTGAAGAGGCGGATGCCCGGGCCGTGGCTCAGCAAGAAGTTGTTGAGGGGCGACTCCTCGTGTAAAAGCGCCCAGCTCTGGTGTGCCAGGCGCGGCAGCGGCGCGTCAGACGCGCGGAAGTCGGTGCCGTAGAAGAGCAGCGCACGCGTCTGCGTGTTCCCCCGCTTTCGTCGGTCGCGGGACGCCACGCACGCGCCGCGCGCGCACTCGATGCGCTCCGAGTCGCCTGAAAAGTGGGGAAATAGTCCAGGGCTCCACCAGAGCAGCACCGGCAAGTCCGCTGTCTCCTGCCTTCCCAGGTGCGGGCTCCCGGTTCTGTGCGCCACCCCCACCGCGCCCAGGGCCGAGGGCGGCCGGAAAACAGAGCCGTCCCATGGTTCCACCCACTCCACCTCCCCGCTCGTCTCTCCTTCAGCCACAGGCCCAGAGCCATTGGCCACACAGACAATAAGCACACCAAGGGCAGCCAGCATAACTCCGGTGCGTCCGGCCGCCATGTCCATTCTGGCAGCTGGCGGCCCTCGGCCAGCACAAGACCCCACCCGGCGGCAAGTTACGGCGAGACGAGGTCCTACGCCACTGGGGCACGCGGCGCATGCGCAGCTCCGGAGGAGCGTAACAGAAGAGACATTGCTAGTAAAGATGAGGCTACTGGTTACATCTTATTTTATTTCTTTACAAATTAAAGATGCATTGAAAAATAAACCAATGAAGAGAAATGAGAGGTCCAGAGCAGGGGCATCCCAGGCTGGGAGCAGACAAGCTTGGCTAACCCTCAATACTAGCCCTTGTCCTGCCCCAGCCAGTGGGGGTTGGAAGATAACTGTCAGCCACTCAGTCAATCCCAAAGCCCAAGTGGTGTCCTGGTGAAAGAGCACAGGGCTTCAGCCACCTGTCTCTCCCCAACGACCCCTGGCTTGAAGAAGCTGCGTTGCCAGTGGAAGCTGAGTGGGATGTGGGCTGGCTCTGTGAGGTATTGCAAGTTGATGATCAGGCTCCCTACAGAACCATCCAGTGTTGAGGCCTCTCCAGCTGAAAAGGAGGCTGGTACCTCTCCCAGGTGAAAACATATTTTGCAACTCAATTCCCAGGCTTATTCATCTCTGACAACGTGCTTCTATCCATGAAGTAATCACCAGTCATTGCAAGGGAGAGAACACAAACAGCGGAAGCAGAGAAAGCTAATCAACCTCCCTCAATAATTGTGATTTGGCTGCTGACCTCCAGGCCCAAGGACCAACCACTTTTCTCTCCACCACCTATGGTCTGTACCCCAGCTCTTGTGTATCTGTATGTGTTATCCCTAATATAGGAAGTTGATGACACTGAGCTGAATTAGCCACCCCCTGTAGTAACCTGGGATTCCCCACTCCTTCCTGCCTGCCCCTCTCCTCTCAGAGGCTGGTCCAAAGGGACAAAATATTGCCAGGGTCTGGGTGCCTCCAAACCCCCAACACCGAATCATATACAGTAAAATGAAAAACTACATTCATTACGACAGGATTAGCAGGAAAAGGAGGATAGAGTGAGGGGATAGGGGCACCTTCCATCAGCAGGACATGACAGAGTGGTAGGATTACTTAAGCCCAGAAAGAAGGTGTCTCCTTATATCTCCCCCTCCCCCCAAAAAGACTGAGGTCAGCTTACATGACTTATAAGATATGGAACTGTCCCAATTTCTCTGCCATCCTGGGATACTTTCTGGAAGCTGGCCTGGGACCCTATGCCATTTACCCATTTGCTTTTAGCTCAGTAGCTGCCGAATCTCCTTGTGCATATGACAGAGAAAGTCCACATAGGATGCTCCCCCGCTCAGGCTCTTATCTTCCACCAGAAAGTGCTTGAACAGCATCTCCAGCTTATCCTCCTGTTTCACCACGATAAGCTATGGCCAGAATGCAGGGTCATGAGGCAGGGCCAAAGGGAATGAAGCATGCCTAGAAATCTCATGATCTAATCACTCACTCACTCCCCACCCCACTTCCAGGTAAGGACTTGACAAGAAATTTAGGGTTTAACCAGGCATGGTGGCCCATGCCTATAATCCCATCTACTTGGGAGGCTTAGGCAGGAGGATCTCCAAGTTTATAATGCAAGCCTCAGTAACTTAGTGAAACCCTCAAAATAAAAACAGGCTAGAGATGTAGTTCAGTAGTAGAGCTCCCCAGGTGCAATCCCTAGTACCACAAAAAATTGAAAAATAAGAGGCTTCAAAGAAGTGTTACCTTCATGTACCGTGATCTCTGTGCCCTTAAGCTATCAATGAGGCATCGAACCTTCTTCGACAGTGGATTATCCAGAACTGGCAGAACACTCTGGAACACAAAAGCCATACCTCCTTGTGATGAAGTACTCATAATTCAGTCAAGAAGGGGGCAACACAGATTTATGCATTAACTGAGAGCCTGAGTAAAGATTGACAGAACCCTCCTTTCCCCATAAGTGTTCCCTATTATGCAAGGGGCCCCACACACTAACTTTATTGGCTCCCACTCACACCACAAAATGTATTTCCACACCCATATTCTCCATGACTCCTTATCCTCACCAAGCCACTGGTGATTTGACTGAAGGAAGGGACGTTGAAAAGGCTCTGGACAACACCCTGTTGAACACTGGCTCCCACCCAGAGGAAGAGGTTGAGCCCATTCTCCAACAAATATATATCGCCATTGCTTAGACGTTCTTCTGATGCTCGGATTGCTGGTGGTTCAGTGGTACTCTCAATGGGAGATTTTGTCTAGACAAAAGGAAGGGGGCAAAAATTTACCAAGGAACATAAGACATACCTGCCCCCTTCACATATACACACAGAACTCAAAAAAGATAAGCCCCTAGACACCACTCACTCTGTAATTCTCAGTGTGAAATGTACTTAAAACAAATTCCTTAGTATCAAACAGAGATACTATTACTCTCCCACCCACAATTCCTCCTCCTTTTTTAAGTTTGTTTTTTTTTGTTATAAGTGGACACAATATCATTTTTTAAATTTTTTAAATTAATTAATTTCTTTGGTGGCACGGGGGATTGAACCCAGGATCTTGGTGCATGTGAGGCAAGCACTCAACCAACTGAGCTATATCCCCAGCCCTCTTTATTTTATTTTTATGTGGTGCCAAGGATTGAACCCAGTGCCTCACGCATGCTAGGCAAGTGCTCCACCTCTGAGCCACAACCCCAGCCCCCCCCCCAAATTCCTTCTTCTAGGAGGCCCTTATCTCAGTGCCATGTCTCACACCCCAATCCTCAATCGCACCAATGGCAGGAGGCGAGGATAGAAGAAAACATTTGTTTCAGCCACATCCATGGAGGTAACCAGCTGTCGGACATAGGCACGGTCATCTGTGGTGACTTCAGCTCCAGGCTGCAGGACATCACTCTTCAACACACAGTTCAGATAAACTGGGAGTAGCTTCATGCACTCAGGAAGGATCAACTGAGGAGTTATTGGAATAAAATTAATGATCATGAGAAATCCCTCCTAAGTGTTAAATTTTGTCCCAAGAACCCCTCCACTGACATGTTTGCCCCACCTGTCCTGCAGAGGAGGGGCTGGCACAGTTCTTTCTGTAACAGGCTAGGATCTGGGCACACTGTGTGATAAGAGTGTCACGCACAGACTTCACAGGGCTGTTCAGGACACCCCGGTATGCTGGGTGGAGAAGGGGGAATAGCAGTTATTGGTCAGCCACATCATATGAGCCTTCCCACCATCAGACCTACCCAGGAATGTAGAATTGTTGACCATCTTGGGCCTTTCTCTCAGCCCCAATCCCATCCTGCCCTATGCCTATCCTCACCAAACTTGGCCATGTAGTTGATAAGTGTGTCAGTCTCACAGTTCCGATACAGATCAGCCAGCAGGGTGCAGCAGTTCAGGGCCAGGTTGTGGATGCGAAGCCGACGCTGCCCTGCACAGCTGGTATAAAGCAGGGCACACTAGAGGAAGAGAGACGGGAAACTCACATCCTCCCTCACAAAAGTCCTCTGAAAAACTGTCCCTTTGCTACATCATTAAACTAGAAGAAAAGGTATAAGCCAACCCTCCCCCAGCTGCTTCTTTGAATCTCTCTACCTGCTCCTCATCTAGTACTTCCTCCCTAGCCCCTGCCTCCCGCTTGCCACCTGCAGGAGCGCTCCACTCTCTTCATTAAGCCGATCATCATGCTTGAACTCCACAGTCACTGTCTTGTCCCCATCTAGCCCAGCCAGCTCCACATCTGTTGTGTTGCTCATGTAGAATGCTCCAAAGAAATCTACAGCACGGATACCTGAGGCCACATAGAGACAGGGTCACAACTAAAGGTATGACAGGTGCCACACACTTTCCTCTCAGATTTAACCCCCCAACTGCTCTTCAACCAGGACTGACCAGTGCTTGTCCGGACCCGCATCACAGCATCAAAGCCAACAACCTTCTGTACATCACGACGCAGGTCACTCAGGAACCGTTCCTGATCATTCTCCACCTGCAGTTGCCCAGGCCCAGAGTCATATCACTAACCATATAACTTACCCTGCAGTTTCCCTGTACCCCTTCCACTCCATAAGCCTGCTTAATTATAATAACAATAACAGTGAAGATGATTAACAATGATATTGATAATAGTGATACTTTTAAAGCACTGACTACATTCCAGGTACCACACAGAGTGCTTTACATATGATTATTTCGTTCTGTGGATAAATCCTAATTAATAAGTATTAAAATATTCTTTCATTTTAGAGATGAAAGAACAAAAAAAGAGATAATAAATTTTTTCCTGTGTTACAGCGCTATTATGTGGTGGGGCCAGAGTATCAACCCAGTTCTGAGAGCAAAGACCTTGCTCCTAACCTTGCCCTTGCAGAGCTCCCTTCTTTACATTTCTCTAACACAATTCCTATTAATGAGTCTGCGGCTCAGAAGCCACTCCATATGTAAGCAGTCATTCTAAGATCTGCTGCCATATGCCACCCAGAATTCCACACCATACCTGAAAGCAAGCATATTTGTAGACAGAGCCACCGGTGAGCTGGGGCACAACAGAGAGCGTAGCCACATCCACGTACTGGTTAGGGAAGAGAAAGAGGTCTACACAGCAGCCTTGGGCCACACACTCTTTGGCCAGAGTCTGATAGGCACCTGTCTGGGGCTGGAACAGAGTCTGGGGAGGAGCAGAAAAAATGTTCAAATTTCTCAGCTCCTCCCTCTTTAAGGAAATATATGTAATATGGATACTCAAATACTTGTAAGACTTCAGAGCATTGCCTAGGAATTTACAATAGTAGTACAAAGTTCTGTTTAAAAAAAAGCAAAGAGGGCTGGGGACGTAGCTCAAGTGGTAGCGCGCTCGCCTGGCATGCATGCGGCCCGGGTTCGATCCTCAACACCTCATACAAACAAAGATGTTGTGTCCGCCGAAAACTAAAAAATAAATATTAAAAATTCTCTCTCTCTCTCTCTCTCTCTCTCTCCTCTCCTCTCCTCTCCTCTCTCACTCTCTCTTTAAAAAAAAAAAAAAAAAAAAGCAAAGCCAGGCACAG